TTTTTTATTTATTGTAGAGATGAGGTCTTGCCAAGTTGCCCAGGCAGGTCTCGAACCCGCGGGCTCAGGCAGTCCACTCACCTCAGCCTCCCAAAGCACAGCCACCGAGCCCAGCTGAGCCACCGAGCCCAGCTGACTCATTTCTTTTTAGTACTGAATAATATTTCATTGTCTGGATGAACTACAATTTATCCACTTGCCTATTGAAAGACAACTTGATTATTTCTAAGTTTTGGCAATTGTGAATAAAGCAGCTATGAACACTTGTATGCTGTTTTTTGTGTAGACATTAGTTTTTAACTCATTTGGGTAAATAAGGAGCACTACTGCTGGATCGAATGGTAAGAGTAATTCTCAACAGTCTTCCAAAGTGGCTGTACCACTTTACATTCTCACCAGCAGTGAATGAGAATTCCTGTTACTTCATATCCTTGCCAACATTTGGTATTGTCAGTGTTTGGATATTGGCCATTCTAATCAGTGTATAGTGACATTTCATTATTGTTTAATTTACTATTTCCTAATGACATATACTATTGAACGTGTTTACTGGAAAATGACTTATTTTCTTTGGTTAAGGTGCCTCTTTATTCATTTTTAAATTGGGTTATTTGTTTTCTTATTGATGAGTTTTAAGAGTTCTGTATATATTTTGTTGACAAATTTTGTATCTATTTTGGTGAGAGATGCTGGTCTGTAGTATTCTTTTTTTGTAATGTCTGTCTGGCTTTGGTATTAGGGTAATACTGGTCTCATGGAATGAATTAGGAAGTATTCCCTCAGTTTCTATCTTCTGGAAGATATTGTAGACAACTGGTATCATCTCTTCCTTAAATGTTTTGGTAGAAAACACCAGTGGCCCTGGTGCTTTCTGTTTGAAAAGTTACAATTGTTGATTCAATTTATTTAATAGGTATAGGCCTATTCAGATGATCTGTTCTTGTAAGAGTTTTGACAGATTGTGTCTTTCAAGGAATTGACTTATTTTATCTAGATTATCAAATTTGGGGTCATAGAGTTATTATATTACTTTATTATCCTTTCATCCCATGGGATCTATAGTGATATATACACTTTAATTTCTGATATTAGTAATTTGTCTTCTCTCTTTATTTCTTAGTTAGCCTGACTAGAGGCTTATTGATTTTATTGATCTTTCAGAGAACGAGCTTTTGGTTTTGTTGATTTTCTCTACTGATTTTCTATTCCCTCCCTCCCACCGTTTCTCTACCTTTCTCCCTCTGCCTTTCTCCTTCTCTTGCTCCCTCCTTCCCTCTCTCCTTTAGTTGAGGAGTCTCACTCTGTCACTCCTATGCCTGGGTTGGCTCCTCTCTCCTCCGTCCTACTCGCTCCTCTCTCCTCTCTGTCTCCTCTCTCCTTTCCTTTCCTCTGTCACCCAGGCTGGAGTGCAGTGGCACA